GGTGGTGTGTGGTTACACTAGGGTTTGATGGCATTTTTGTCACTCTTGTCACTCTCTGTACCTATTTGGGGAGCTACAAGGTGGAGAATCAACATCAAAGAGAGAGCCAACAACAAAGGGACCATTCCCTCTATTAGAACACCATTCTTGGTTTCAAGATTCGCTCCAAGGGTATGAACATCTTATCTTTCTCTCCAATAGGATTTAGAGAGTCTTTGGTGCACATTTTTATAGACTTATAAAGATTGCGACTAAATGAGGCTTGCATGAATCCCTAGTTTATTTAATGCTTCTGCTCTTACTTTGATTTCATATTAGATATGGCATGCTAGATGATTTATACTCAAGTTTGGTTGTAGAGATTTTAGAAATCTCTACACAACACCGTTCCCACAATATTCCCTTCAGATGAGAGGGAGACTTCTAGAGATCTCAAACTTAAAGGATTACAACAAAAGCGGAGGGATCCATCGACAATATCCAGCTTCTGTGGTACACCTCAAAACACCATGCGACACGGTCGAAGAAATCATGCGACACGGTCGAAGAGATCATGCAACCACAAGAAGTTGTACACTCCTTCAAGATCTCTTTCACAAGTTAGTAAGTAGAGAATGACAAGTTTGCAATTGGAAGAGGAGTAAAGAGAAGCCTTGTATTTATAAGGGTTGGGTATCCTAGGTCAAGTAGGAATCACAAGCCTATACCCATTGGGAGCCCAACTCCAAGAAGAAGTCAAAAGCCTACTCCAATTAGGAGCCCAACTCAAAGAAGAAAGCCCAGATGCATTTGGAGAGCCCGATAAATATTTCTCATCTCCTCCGACTGGCCCACTACTCCGAAGGCAACAAAACATTTCTTTTTCATTTTCAAGAAATTAAAAAAAAAAAATTGGCTAGGCAAATGCAATCAGAGACTATCCACCCACCGCCACGCCCTACACGGGTGGTTGATAGTTGCAAAATGAGGTTGTGGTCGACATGCCCTCACATTTGAGAAGGAGTTCCTAGCAACTCCGTCTCTCCCATGCAATAAAATGCCTAGACAACCCCATTTTGCAAATAGCCACCCCTTCCCCCACCCACCCCCCCTCTCCCCCTTTCCATGACGATGGTGGGTGGTGGCTGAATTCCGGCCACCACCGTCATGGGGGGCAGCCACCCCCACACCAAACCCATAATACTGAGGCAACATGACATGGGTGTGGCGTAGGGAAAGGGGGCTGCTGAGGGGGCATGGGCTGCCATGCATATGCGGGCAACACACAACCCATTTAGAGTATCCAC